CTTTTATTAAGAGAACAGGAAAAGAGAAAGGGAAAACAGAATGCTGTATGTAATATTTATATCAAACTCATATGATCTGAAATTATGCTAGGTGCATATGATTTCACTTTTTACCCATGTAGCCTTGGACTAAGACTTGGGTCTTAAAGCAGGCCAAATTTATTGGATTCAAGTGTAATGTTGGAGAGAGTTGTCTTTGTCTGCATCAGTTACTACTGGGGAGTCTAAATCAATAACGGCAACAAAGTCACACTGAGTAGAATCAATGTTATCCTCAAATTGCCTAGGCAACTTACCAGAGAAGGCCTTTATGTCTTCTAATTTAACATCCCATGATCCAGATGTTGTCTTTCGTAAGCCTTCAGAGAAAAGATCTAGCCCAGTGGTTCTCAACCTTCCTAATGCCGTGACCCTTTAATACAGTTCCTCATGTTGTGGTGACCCCCAACTATAAAATTGTTTTTGTTGCTACTATGTAACACTGGGAGCTACAAAACCTGGGTGGGTGTGGCTAACTCAACATCACTCCCACCCAGTCACATGACACCCCCTCCCAAGACATGCCTACCAAGGTTTCATGGCTCAGTGTTTTCTGTGGAAATAGGGTCTCTCTCTCTCTCTTCTCTCCCCCTCCCTCTCATTTCTGTTTTTCTCTATTTTTCCTCTCCCTTTCTCTTCTTCCTTCCTTTCTTTCTTTCCTTCCCTTTCCCTCTTTCTTTTTCTTTCTTTCTCATTGAATACAATAGCAAATCCAAAATAAAGTTATTAATTGTAGGAAATTGCTTCTCTGTAATCTTTTCATAGTGAACTCTAAGTTGATAGAAGCTGACAAGATTGTACTAACAGCAATAGGATATATATTTTGATTCCTTTTGAGTTTGACAATATAATACGTAATCCAAAATTATAAATAATCCTATTTTCAGGTGCATTTTTTGCCATCTCTGTTATTTTTTTTAAAAAAAAATCAGACTTGCTTCCAATTTGTGCCTTCTGGCAAATTGCAGTTTTCTTGGCAAGAGATCTAGCTTGCCATTGTTTCCCTCTCTTTTCCCTCTCTCTCATTCTCTCCCTTCAGCTCTCTTTCATTTCTTTCTCCCTCTCCCCCTTCTCCCTCTAATTTGTTTCCCTCTATTTTCCCTCTCTCCCATTCTCTCCTTCCATCTCTCTCTCTCTCTCTCTCTCCCCTTTTCTCTTTCATCTCTTTCTTGCGCGTGCAAGCAAAATACCCTCCTGGGCCGGGATCACGGCGGCGGGGACAGCAACTCCTTCCGCTGCTGCCACTGAGAAGTGAGTAGTTGGCTGTGATGCGCTGCACAGGAGACTCCACAGCACCAGGCTCAGGTCAGTCCCCTTCGTGTTGACTCAGGAAAGAGCCAGAGCAGCCATCTCTGGATGCAGAGAGGGAAGAGTTCCAGAGCCCTGTGCAGCGCAGAAGAACTGGAACTCTTCCCTCCCTGCACGCAACCAGCTGCTGCTACTGCTCCCCATTCCCCTCCTTCCTGAGCCAACACAAAGGGGACCACAGCTCGCACTGACCTGAGTCTGGTGCTGAGGAGTCTCCTGCGCAGTGTGGCTCCCCTGCGCTGCGTACCCAGTTCCTCACCTCATTGCGCAGTGGCAACAGCGGGAGGAGTGTTGTTGTCCCCTCTGCCTTGATCCTGGCCCAGGTGGGTATTTTACTTGCATGCGCACATGTGCACACACACCTCTCTCCTTCCACCATGCGGGGAACCCAAGCCACTCCTTCCCTTTGGGCCGGCTTCTTGCCAGCCTCTCCGCGGGAGGCTCCTCGGCGACCCCTGTGAAAAGGTTGTCAGACCCCAAAAGGGGTCGCAACCCAGAGATTGAGAACCGCTGATCTAGCCCAATGGACTGCTGTTTGATGGAGCGGTGGTCAGTTTACCACTCTTAGGAGCACACAAATAAGCATGTTACTATGCTTTAATTTATCTTATTTATCTACTGCGCAAGATGCTTCTCATTTCTTGAGTCAAGAAAGGTGCCAAATAGATGCTTCATGACTGAAAAGGAGCAAATATGGCCTAGGCATACTGAAACAAGGAATCTGATGGGATAGCAATAGCACTTAGACTTGTTTACTGCTTCGCAGTGCTTTACAACCCCCTCTAAGTGGTTTACAGAGTCAGCCTATTGCCCCCAACAATCGGGGTCCTCATTTTACTGAATTCAGAAGGCTGGAAGGCTGAGTCAACCTTGAGCCTGGTGAGATTCGATCTGCCAAACTGCTGGCAGCCGGTGATCAGCAGAAGTAGCCTTCAGTACTGCACTCTAACCACTGCACCACAGTGGCTCATAGCTAGCTATGCAAAGCAGAAATTAGTGAATCAAAGTTTATGGATTGTAATTTTAGTATAGTAGACCCTGTGTAATTGACATATTTGAATAGATATCTGAAGAAATCAATAATAAAGGTCACTGGATGTTTGTTGATTAGTTGACATGGATCCGGCAATATCATTGTAAAGACAAACTCTCTAGAGAGTCCAAAATGAAATTGTTTCCCCCCCCCCCTTTAATACAGTACATACATTTATTTCACCAGGATCTTTTGCTCAGATTGAGATACTAGAATCCAATTTGTATTACCTAGCTTCTACACCACAAATTCTTCTTATACAGCTACTATTTTACAGTTTTAGTCTTCTCATTCAAATAAACTACTGTCCAATTCTCCTCTTTTTCTCACTTCCCTATAGTCATGGAGAGTCTTTGCCTTTAAAACAGATTTGTCTTCCATCTGCTGGATAAATGGAAGCTTTGCAATCCATGCCCAATTGAATCTCTTCCATGCCTTAATTAAATTTACTGGTTTCACCAAATTAGTGCAGATTCTTTTATAATGATTTTTTGTTAGTTCTGGAAATCTCCTCTGTATCAAGTTAATGTTTCTGTTTGTCTGCTTTATCATTCTGTTGCCTAACTGTGTTGTTGTGTTGTCATTTCTTAAATATGGCTTTACACTAACTAGTTTTCACACAGTTTCTTTATTTGATTGGCACATGCTTGAGGATTGCTGTAGAATTAACATCCTTTACTCTCTGCTTGGTTTTAAATACACCTTTGCATCTATTAAATGTTTATAAATATATTGTTACAAAATTTAAGTTTGAATCCCCTCTCATTTCTAGAGCATTCACCACAGTTTCAAAACTTGCTGAGAGTCTAACATTAGTTCAATTAAAACTGCCTTGGGTAGAATCATCCCTTGGACCTCTAGCTGGCATGATATTTCCAGCCTCTAGCATTGATAAACTCTCTCCTTCCTTGCCTTTTATTACAGAAAACCACAGAAAAGTGCACTTTAACAAAATGGTAGAGTGAAAGAAGGGAGGAGTAGAGTGAAAGAAGAAAGAGGGGTAGAGAGGGTGGGAGAGAGGATTGGAGGTAGGAGGAGAAGGAAGGGAGGGAATGTAAGAGAGAGGAGTGTTAGAGGGGGACGGGAAGTGGGAAGTAGGAAGTAGAGGGGAATGTTGGAAGGAAGAATGAAAGTTGGAGGGGGTGAAAGGGTGTATGGTGGGTCAAGGTGGTATATTGGGTTTGTATTTTGCGGGGTATTGTTTACAAAAGGGAAGGCTATGTTTCTTATTCAATGTTATATACCCCGGTTATGCACAGTATACATGTGATTGTATGGAATGAAATGGAAATAAACATATATATTTTTTAAAAATGGTAGATTTTTTCTCGTCTCCTCTGCATTTCTATTATTTCTTACACTTTTGAAATACTGTGGTTTACTGCAAAACAGATCATTCAATAATAATAACCTTCTTCTA